CCCCCCCCCGCCAGTGTCTTAGCAAGACCTGTTTAGTCGTAGTAAGGGCCAGGATGATCCATTTTTTATAATGGGGGGAGAAGTCGCACTCAGAAAGTCCTGTGGTTATACCAAGCGTGGACAGTTTTGGTGAGATGCGATATCTTCTTTTCAGAACACTGAAAATGACCTCCATGATATTTTCCCACCAGTCCCAAAGTGCCGGACAGCTCCATAGAATATGCAGAATCGAGGCAGCCTGGCCATCACATCTCCAGCAATTGTCCAGAGGAATCAAGTTCCATTTGTGCAATTGTTGTGGTGTTGGACGCCACCTGTGGATTATTTTTAACTGGATAAATCTGCTGCCTATTTCCTTATACATATTAATATTATGAAGACATGACTCCCATTCAGCTGGAGATACGTCCACTACCAGATCTTGGGCCCAGCAACGTTTAACTTTGGAAAGAGGGTCAGCTAACTGATCTTGCACTAAACGGTAGATCTTAGAGGTAATACCTTTACCAAAGGGCGATCTCGAAAGCAGTGCTTCCACAGGGCTGCCCACAGGACAGCTCATTTCGATAAAGAGCTGCACATTTGGACATATCTTCAGAATTGACTGCGCTGCAAATGATATAGCTCAACAATCTGATCGAAGCTCAGGAAACGTTTGGTTCTGCAATCAAATAAATGTGATACATAGAGGATGGCGGTGCCAAAGCAATTCAAAATCTTTTATTTCCCCATTAATTGGTGATTGTTATTGGCTGTGAGTTTGGATGGGTATCTGTTTCCTTGTAACAGACTGGAGTGTATATTTTAGTGTATATTTTGCCTCTCGTCCTATGGTAGCTGAGATAGGCTGGGACTTTCTTTGTTAATCTAAGAGGATCAATTATTTTCTTTGTCCACGAGGGTTAATCCAGCTCCTCCTGTGGTTTCACTCTCTGTATCACTTTAATTTATGGCTAAATAACTGCAGGCATCATGGTTTTGCTTCCGCAAACTAATATTTATTGCACCACGTTTCTTTTAGATTACATGTATATGCTGCTGCTGTTGTTAATATGTTCATCATTTATATAACACATTTTTATGATGATGAAAGAGCCACAAATGGCAAAAGGACTGGCATTTATATAGTGCTTTTCTTCTCTGTTTGGTTTTAATGATTCTTCTTTGAAGAAACTGTCTTTATTTTTCACACAGATCCCTGACACTCAGATCTTTTATTGTGATTAGGGTTGGGACCTGGCAACTGATTTCTAATTGCGAAATCCATTAAAATCATATACCCCCAGGCTTATTCATTCCTTTTATCGATGCTGGCATGTGTTTTTGGTGTAACCACATTGCAAAACAGTTGACGTCAAATGGCTGACAGTGGCAATTTCGCACACTTGAGTCATAAGCAAAAATTTGTGTTCAGACTCAGTGATAGTGACCATAACTAAATGTAGTTCTGAGACTCAAATCCTGCGAACGTTTAGTTTTTCCCCAAACAGATTAAAGAATCAACAAGAGCATCAGAAAAAAGGACTAAAAACACAACTGTTAAAGGCAGTGGTATGAATAAATATCAATCTTTAACTGTGATTGTGTTCGCACGTGTCTCATTTGCTGTTTTAATCGCCTAACGTAGCCATAAAGCCTACACCGCACAATGAAGATATTCAGTAAAGTGGTCATCCCCCTTTTCCCTGTGAGCCAGAGGTGAGATCCAGCCAACAGCCTGGACCTCCCTCTGATCTGATCATGCTGGACTTAAAACACACTCACGTACACACAAACACCAAAGTCATTGAACATGTTAACAGCGGGAACAAATGTTGGCAATAAAGACGTCAGACAGGAACTGAGTGGAAATAAATCTTCCTGAAGGAGATGATGAATAGCACAATGTGTGAAGCTGTTCGGCCCGTGCAAGCGGCCACAGACCGGCTCTCAGCTGTGACCGGAGAACATCACATATTAATTCAAGCTACGCCGTTCAAACAAAACCACCAGTTTTTCATCTGTTCTCAAACACATGGGACCATGCGCACATGTGTAACAAAAGACTTTTTAGCCCTTCTGCCCTTTCTGTGCTTGGCAGCCAAGTCTCCATCACACGATACCAAAATCCCTGACACGCTGCACCAGCTACATGGGATCGACAAATACTCTACTGAATTCTTTCTTTTGTGCAATTTAAGCTTTGTGAAGTCTCTTTTTCATCTTTCTAAGCCCCCGACTTTCTGAAAAGAGTCATGTGAAATGGAAGTAAAACAGACAAGAAGTTCAGATAAAGCAAATCTGTCTGTTGTGCTGTAAATCAAATCCCACCGGTCTGTTTAAAGGTTATGTTCAATGACGTGTAGTTGAAACGGTGCAAATTCAGCCAGTGTGGTTTCCTGTGTGCCACAGGAATAGATCACACATTGTGATCGTTTACAGACACAGAACAGTACTTTTGTCCTCTACCCGTCTAGTTTACTCAAAAATGTCTAAAGATAAGTTGTCTGTTATGGGTAGACACAACACTGATTCATTCCTGAGGTGCATTTTGATGTTTGATTGATTCACAGGTGAGTGTTACGTGGTTAAACAGACAAAAACCCACTCCTCTGAAAATGGTCAGGTACAAGGAAAAACTGGCCAATATGCAAAGAAAAACTTTCTCCAGAAATCCTGGAGAACTACTGCTCACGTCTTCTTCTAAGAAAATGACTAAAATCTCCTTAGAAAAACTAAATATAAAGATGGAGGCGTAGCTCCAGACTTTCACATGGTCCTGTACATATTTTTATTCTTGATCTCAAGTAGATGCATGATTCAGACTTCCAAGTAATCTTTGTTTATCTTATACTAAGCTTCATCTTTTTGTAACGCAAGCACTTTGATGTTCACTACCTTTCTTTTGATTGGCTGCCACTCCCAAAACTGAAGGTTTGAACACCAGCTGGGTGGGGATTTGCTTAAAGCAACAGCTATGTGCTCGGAATGAGCTCATTAGGAATATCGTCTCCCACAGACCAAACTGAGTGAAATCTGAGCTTTTGTTTCACAAGGATTATTTGTTCATAAAGTGACATCATTATTTGAAACTTTGGCCATTTTTGATATTACCGTCTACATATCAACAGCGTTTGTATGTCAGAAAATAAGAAATGCAAAAATACACCTTTTAAACCAAGGTTATCCTGTGAGCTAACATGCTAGTTAGCCACGTTATCAGCCACAGTGTTTTATGATCTTTTCCCTAATTTGTTTAATTTACTTTATCATTTATGAGCAATTTTCCTATCTATGCCTCCAATTTTCTGTTCTCTCAAAGATCGGTAACTTCTTATTGGTCACTGATGCAATTTCTTGTGCCAAAAGGTCAACAGAATTGTACTTTAGTTGAACTTTTATAGCTTTAACAACACCCAGTGTGTGTGTGTGTGCCCTACTCACTTATATGTCTTAACTATAAAAGAATCTGCTCTGTGTGTGTGCGTTCCTTTGTTTGACCCTGCACAACGTATATTTTCTTCATCCATATGTGAGTGAGGCGGCTGTGATTAGAGGGTGCCACTACAGCGTTCCCCTCAGGCCACTTCACCCTGTTATTTTCCCCTCATCAGCCCGCGCTCTCTATAGGGAGGGTGGGTCCGTGACCTCCCTCCCACGCACAACCACGAGTGAGGGAGGCACCCGTTTCACACAACCCCCTTCTTAAGTCACAGCAGAGAAGCGGTTGAGGTCACAGGCCCCCTTCTGAGTCCCTCACATCCCCTGGCAGAACTCCACATTTCTCATAAAGCAAAGCTCATCAAAATCCCCAGGCCTCCATCCTGAATCCTCCTTACTTTGACACAGACGGATATCGTCACTGTCTTCCACCCGGACTCATGGAAATCATCAAAAGCGATAAACTGGTGACACCGGGGCAGGGTCAAAGCAAACTTTTGAGCCTTTGACTTCAATTCCCTTTCACCTTCTGAACCGCAAGAAATACGTTACAGAGACAAGGGGAGGCCAAAACCGGTGACATGAGCAATATCTCTCGCAAGTGTTCTTTGGCATCCTTTCTTACTTTTTGTCGTATTTTTTAAATGTCATTTTCTTCTCTTCTTGGCTCTTTTTCCTGCTCTCTTCCTGCCTCTCCATTTCCCAGCCAGCATTCAGGAACTTTTTAAAAACAGGCTTCAGCGTAAAACAAACAGCCCACGGCCTTCTTTAGTCGAGCTGCCCCATGAAGGCAGGGAACCAAGGAGGGAGGGAAAAAAAACAGTAATAGATTCACTAGTGGAATACATGTAGTACTGAACATCTGCTGGAAGTTTGAAGTTTGGGTTCATGAGGCTTTAGGGGAGTTAAAACAATACTGGACTGTAGAGTTGTGCACAATATCAGCACAGCGACTGGCGGGAAGCTCACAAGGGAATTTATACTTCTGTGTTAAATCTGTGCCCTGCCTACCTCGTAACCACAAACCCTTGTGAAGAACTGACCTCACATGCACATCCCTGGAAGCATAACTACGTGTTGCCGGTAACTGTTGCGATTGGCCCGTTCAGTACTCTTCATTCCTCCTACACATACTTGGCTACTTTGTCGCTGCAGTTTGTGAATTTCAGCGAGAGAATAACACTCATCGCCTCAATATGAGGACTCTCAAATGTCAGCAAATTCCTGGAGGGAGATTGCCGAAACTATGGGAATGGACGTGAGGGAATGTGCAAAGAAAGTGGAAAAACTTGAGGGACAAATATGTTTGGCTCTGAAAAACAAAGAAAAAAAGTCTGACCACAACAAAGAGAGGGGACCAAGGAGGGAAAAAAGTCCCAGTGTTTAGATTATGTAGTACACTCTACAAAGACTCACCGCAGAAGTCTAAATCAGCCATAAGTCCTGCTTTCAGTTATTGGTGCTGTGATGCTCCCTGGCCAACCATTCAGACTCCTAAGAATCTGGACTCTTTCAGAGCCTTTTGGTACGCAGCAACTACAGTAACTAGAGTAAAGCAGAGCTTTACACAACAATCTCCCCTTGAGATAATCATGTATGTATGAGCTGTAGTGATGTTGTCACTAGAGCTGATAAAACATGTACTTTTTAGCATGCAGCTTGCTCTGTGAAGCAGTTTTTCCCATGGGAGACAACCTTTACATCAAAAGTCCAATAAGGGTCGCAGGGTTTCTGTTTAGCTCAGAGTGACTGATTCAGCCGCTGCTCACGGGGCAGATTACCATACCAAATGCAGGGGTTTTCACCTTCAGGCGTGGTGGCATAACCACTAAAGCCCTTTTGAGACAGACAGTTGTTTTCTTTTCGATGATGGCATTTTGTCAACCAAACATAGGTCAGTTATACATAAATGTCATTTGTTTGTATTCAGACATCCCAGTGACAGTGCTCGACAGAGCTGCTCACAAGAACAGCATCTCTGTTCGCTCTTTTCACAAAAAGAGGTGCCATATATTTCTATGTATTTCTATTATAAAAGGGCTGATTAAGTGCCAGCTTAGCACTGGCACAACAGTACTGTGGGACCCAATACTGGAACAACTGATGTTTAAAAAAAGAAAAGAAAAAGAGGTTAATGATTTGCAGATGAAGCTGACAGATTGTGTCTGCCATTCCTTTCTTCCAGCGGAGATGACCTTATTTATGTAAAGTTCGGTTGATATGTGGACTTGTTCAGCAAAATAGACTTACTGGCAAAGATAGCATGTTGGTGAGAAAGAGTGGTCTATGTGTGTGTGTGTGTCTATGTGTGTATGCGTGTCTGTGCTGCACAGTGTTGCAACAGCTGCCTCTTGCACACAGGCTCAGGGACAGTGAGCTCTCTTCCTGGAAATGTCAAAAATGCCTAATAGATAAATACTTTAATATTGTTCCAAATTAAGAACCAAGCTGATGAAGATGAGAGAGAAGCGAGAGTGGCCACGGAGCTCATTCACATATGCGTCACATATGAAATGATGTCTGCAAAGGCCTTATTTACCAGATATAGCCAGATAAACTGTACACTGTTGTTTTCTTTGTCTTTTGTTTAACATTAAAGTAGTGCTAATCAGTGGGCATGCAATGACTGTGACTGTGAATATTGAGAAAGGGCCAACTTTCTCAGCTTCTCAGTAAGCCTACAGAAAATGATCAGTCAGTTCTGTAGTTCCCCGTGACTCTGTTTTGTTTTGCATGGTGGCCCCGAAAGGTCAAAGGACAGAAAATAGAAAAACACTGCAAAATGAAAGTTGAATTAAATTAATAACACAAAATGGAAATAAACAAACAAACCTCAACTGAAGTGTCTTTGGTGAGGTAATAGCTGTGGAACAGCAAACATGCATCTACAGTATTATATGAATAATCATAATGTTATATATATTATTCTCTGCTACTTTTAAGTGTCTCAGTTTTTTTGTTTGCTTGTTTCTATTGTGTTTTATTCAGTTTTAATGTGTTTTA